CACCACAGGGGGGACCCACCATACCACAAGCGCACTGGCAACCGCCGTGGATGCGTGACCCGGGAATGCCGCCTCCTACTCAGCTTACCTGGCAGTCCACACACGTCACAGCCCAGGGAACACCATACACGGCCTGGGGCGGGTACGCCTTGGCTCCGCAGGCTCAGCAATTCCCGCACGCTGGCACCCAACCTGGGGGAATATATTTTCCACCTCCGGCCTACCAGCTCCAGTACACCCAGCAGCCGTCGACTCAGCCGCCACCGCAACAAGCCTCCTACGGCCCGAACAGGGCCCCGCCGCAGCAGTTGACACCACCACAGACAGCTGCACTCCACTCCACACAGCCACTACAACCTACGAGACCTACAGGACAAGCACAGCCACAGGTCCCCGTGATGCCACAGACACAGCAAGCACACACGGTGCCTTCGTTCTGCAAACCGTGCGCCCCATGCCTCCCTCGTGGCTACGCACGGCCATATGACCCGGACGACGACCCCTGGAATACCCCCTACAGCTCACCCCGCAATGGTGGCGCGGGGGACGCATTGCCGCCAGCTGACCCCCACAAGTCGAACCCTCCGAGTCGACAACCCCAGCCGGAGGGACGCAGCCGACCACCACAGGAGCCAACGCCACGCGCCACACAGCCCTACTCCGCCTGGTATGACAATGCCACGGAGGACCTGCCGCAGCAGCAGCCCAAGCCACAGCCTAACATGGGGACACCCGAACCACCTCCTGCACAGCAAGGCTCTACCCCCCCACATCTCCAACAGGCGCAGCAGCCCATGCCAAACCAGGGCACGCCCCACACGGCCACCGCAAATGTCCTTGACGACCCCCCGAGCATTCCGCCCTGGGAAACTGCCCAAGCCGGCTACCCGCCACACACCCACGCAGCATCTACGACGTGCCCCTCACACTCAAACCCTGGGGGAAGTGAGTTCACGGCCAAGGAGCTCGCGAACCAGCGAGAGTGGTATGAAGATCAGCAGGGAACCTATGATGGAGACATCCCCCCAGAAATTCCCTGGGAAGGCAACCAGGAACAGCAACAGCCACAGACCGCCCCAGCGGGAGAAGCACCTCTTCCTCAGGACCCACCTGCAGCAGCACAAGACGGCGCTGGCGAGGAGCCTGCGCAGCCCCCCGCACCGCAACAACAGCAGCGCACGCCACCATGGGAAACTCCGGGATGGGGAGGCATCCCTTCCCACAGCAGGCACACACACCCTGCCACACGACTTGGGGGACAGACCCCTACGCAGCAGACAGCTACAGCAGGACATGGCTCACAACGGGTAGCCAACAAGCGGGGTAAATACGCATACAAGCAGCTGCGTAAAATGGGTCGACAGGTCGACCGGCCCAGACCTCAGCCACAGCAT